TCAACTATTCTTTACTTGGCTTTGTCACTTCTATCAAGGATTAGGTCAGAAGCATTCTTTTTCTCCATTTCCTCTTAGTTTCCCTCTTATTGCTAAAGTAACCCACCTTTTTAAACTGTTGGGGCCTTTAGCATATTAGTCATAGTTACGTTAATTTTTCTATTAAACATTTCCAATATCTGTGTCATACTTGAGTTTAGTTCTGATTACTGTGTCATATAGGACTGTGAATTCTCTTTCCTATTCATGTGCTTTGTAATGTTTAGGCTAGACATGTGGCAGTAGGACAGTAGTGACGTGAATCATTTTTATGCGTGGAAATGGACATAGAGTATATTTCTATGAGGAAAGTGGTAGTTTGCATGTTGTGGAGGGGTTGGGTTACTTTGTGAGTTGTGAGGATTACTGTCAAGGTTCGTGGAAAAAAAGCTTTTAAGAACATGCAGACTCTCCCAATTACTGTACTCTTCAGAGGCCGAATTCTCAGTCTGGCTTTCAAATTCTCACTAATTTTAGATGAAATGATAAAAATATATCTTTACCATTGTCCAATTCCCTCTACTCCAGGTAAGGCTCTTTTTGTCTCTTCCAGATGCATTGTCTCCTTAGAGTTTTAGATCATTTTCCTGTGGTCTTCGGTCTCTGATAGGTTTGAAAACATTCATTAATTTGACAATTGTCCTCTTTTTCCATAAGGGTTAGGAGTAACATTCTTCCTAGTTCTCTGTGTCCTGGGGCAAAAGGCAGAACCAATACACTTATTTTTAAAGTAATATAATTCTTGTAGATGAAAACTAGAAAGCCATACAAATTTAAAGGCAAAGAGGAAAGAGCAGATAGTATGGAAGGATTGAAGACACTAAAAAAGAAATAAGCAAAACAAAATAATATAAAGGCAAAAAATTCAGTAATTTAGGAAGATGTTGAAACATTATATAAAAGATACATATATATCTTCTCTAAAGATACGTTTATAAGTCAGTTTCAGAATTTATAGGCCATCTGTTTGCCTGAATGCATGAAATCATAAATCCCTTTTTTATTTGGAAACAGACATCAGAGGTCACTAATCTTTACAGTAAGTCCCTAGACCAGTGATGGTGGTCTAGGGACTTCAATGACAACAGCCCACTGCAGCACAAGTGCCTTAGGTTCAGTACTACTGCCTTAAACCAATCCCTATCTGAGTCCTTTTATTCTTTTTTGCTCACAGAAAGTTTTGAGGAGCTTCAAGAAGCAATCTAAACCAGAGATCCTTCTGATTTTTCATTTGCGGCTCATTTGAATGTTATATTTGACTGTAAAATATAATATTTTAATATTAAAATGCCTGTCGCCTTATCAGTTAAAATTGGTTTTAAAATAGCACACCATATTTATCTCCTGCATATGCTTTAATACAAAGCTGACAGATACCTTGGTTTGGGATATGTTAAATGGGGGGAGTTCTTTCTTAAACAGATAAGAAAGCAGTCCTTTAGGGGTGGTGGACTCTGCTAGAAGCTATACACTTATTTAGTGTCAAAGCCAGGATTTGAACCCAGATTTTCTAATCCCCAGTTTAGAATTCTTGCTAGTATATCATGCTAAATTTATATCCAGTTTTATTTTACACTGTCATTTAAGCATCATACTATAAGACAGTGTTAACTGAAATATATTCTGTGTGCCACAAACATACATACCGCCACCACCAAGTATTATGTAACACATTAAGTTTAGGATGTGCTATATAGAATTCCACTTTAGAGCCTCAATTCACATTAGTACATTGAAAGAATCCAAGAAGGCTTCCATTAAAGTTCATTTTCTTTTTTTAAAATAAATTTTATTTTACCCCATTCCCCCCCTTAAGCCTCCTCCCCTCCCAATGTACAAAAGCTGTTTCCATTTTTTCATTCTATTTTCACTTTTTCCCCCCTCCTTGCTCCCTTATTCCCCTTCCCATTTGAACACTTTCTTCCCATTTCCCATTGTCTGTTATACATTTCAGTCCTTATTTCCACTTTCTCACACCACAGAAATAAAGCAGCATTTAAACATGTGTGTCTGATTTATTTCACTTAAGAGTACGGTCTCAGGGTCCATCCATTTAGCTACAAATGCCTGAGGCTCATCCTTTTTATGGCAGAGTAGTAGTCCATTGTAAAAAAAAACACCCCACGTCTTCCAGGAAGTTCATTTTCTTAGCCCTGGTGTTTCATATTTCTTTTACTTTGAGGGCCGTGTACTTTAATCTTTCATGACACTGTAGTACAGTTGTGGTAGAATAAAGCTGGGAGGTACTAACCTATGGGGATATTAGTTTAACTTTGGAAACTAGCTTGTAGATACAGCATTTATGTGGGCAGTTCTACTTAGGGACTGTATGTCCTCAGGTAATGGAAAAGAGAAAGCAAGAGAAATGAGATTGGGCCAACCTTGGCTGAAATTATTCTTTAAAAATGTACACACATCCTACATGTTCTCTATTGTTAGACTTCTCCAAATATGTAACATCCAATTGACCTCTGAATCATTTTTGCTATTTTCCTCTTGGCCCCAAAACATCTCTTGATGTGCCTTCACTGTTCAGTGGAATGTTGGAGCTGTTTTTAACCCATTTCCAAAGAAATCTTCAGTGGTAAAGTGTTGCAGTGGATTTTTATGTTGTCTATATCTCTCAATTGTGGATAATTCAACATAACATGTAGCTTTGCAAATCAGCTTGCATTAGAAACAAATGCTCTTTTTTTTCTGAATTGATAGGCTATGTAAGATTGAAAACTGTAATGGAATGCTACCATTAATAGAATTATACTACCATTTGAATTATCTAGAATATATAATATTTTTAACATGCACTTTTTCGAGTGCTTTACATGTATTAATTAACTCATTCCTCATAAACCTCATAAACTCTCTTTCTTATAGTCAGGAAAGTAAGATTAATCAGTTTGCTTCTGCTTACATATTTTTAAGCGGGTAAAACCATTTAAAACCCAGGAACCTGGGGCTGAAAATACTGTTCACTACTATGCTGTACATGCCCCTGTTGTAAATTATTGATTGTAAATAACTTTTTCATATTTTAAAAACTTAGTCTTATTGTGTTCTACTCTTACATTCATTGAACAGTAATTACCTACCTTGTATTGGTACCTGAGCTAGGAACTAAGGTATGAAAAACTCAGTGTGGCTTTTGACCATGTAGAGCTAAAAAAGAGTTAACCAGTTTATAGCTAGCAGCTTACTAAAGAGTAGTTTTTAAGTTATTTTTCATCTGTGTTAGACTTTTTGTAGTTTTAAATTTTTAATTGTGGTTAACAAAACAGAGCACAACATAGAATTTAACATCCTGTTTTTTTAAGTGTACAGTTGGGTACTGTTAAGTATATTCATATCATGGTGCTACAAATCTCCAGAGTGGTTTTATCTCTCAGAACACAAACTCTGACCCATTACACGACTTTCCCATTTCCCCTTCCCCCAAGTCCCTGGAAGTCACCATTCTAGGTCTTGTTTCTATGAATTTACTTACTTTAGATACCTCATACAAGTGGAATTACACTGCTTGGTCTTTTTGTGACTGACTTGTTTCACTTAGCCTAATGTCCTCATGGTTCATCCCTATTATAGCATGTCAAGGTTTCCTTCTTATTTAAGGCTGAATGATACTCCATTTATACATGCATCACATTTTCTTTATTCATCCATTGATCATAGACCCTGGAAATACTGCTACTTCTTGGCTGCTTTGAACACAAGCACAGTATCTCTTTGAGACCTTACTTTTAATACTTTGGCTATGGAGTGAGAAGTAGGCTTGCTGGATCATAGGGTAAATTCTATTTGTTATTTTTCAAGGTTTCCATAACAGCAGTAACATTTTACATACCCCAAAACAATTCCAAAGTATTTTAGCTTCTTTGCATCATCAACTAGTATATTCTGATGGTGATGGTGGCGGTAGCGGTTTTTGAAGATAGGGAAATGCAAATAAAAACCAGTAAGAATGGCTAATGATTAGGTGTTACTGAGTGTTTTCTTGAATGCTCACTGGCTGTTTGTATATCTTCATTAGAGAGTATCTAAGTCCTACTCTCATTTTTTAATCTGGTTATTTTGTGGTTCAGTTATGAGTTATGTATATATTCTAGATATTAACCCCTCATGAAATACATGATTTGTAAATATGTTCTGTTATTCCATAGGCTATGTTTTCATTGTTTATGATGTCCCAATATGTACAGTTTTTAATATAATACAGTCCTATTTCTTTTCTTTTCTTTTTTTTTTTGGTACCGGGGATCAAACTTTTGGGACCTTGTGCTCTTGAGGCAGGCAGCAGAACCACTGAGCCTAAATCCCCAGTCCAAGTCCTATTTCATTCGGTTGGTTATGTTTCCACATCATATCCATAAAATCCAATTTCAGGAACCTTCTCTGGAAGTTTTACGGTTTTAGGTCTTAAAATTAAGGTCTTTGATCCACTTTGAGTTAATATTTGCATGTAGTATAAGGTAACGGAGTAATTTCATTCTTTTGCATGTGTTGTTTTCCAAGCAACATTTTTTGAGAACCCTTCTGTTAGATTATTTTAAGGTAGGAAAAGAAACAGGCTCTGCAGAGCAAGTTTGAGCCAAGCAAAAATAGGAAAAGAAGTACACCCTACACCGAGGGGGTGGGCTACCATGCAAAAGAGAACAGTGACCTGTTCTGTTAGATTTTTGTAGTTGCTCTGAAATGAAGATTTGTAATATTTTTTATCTTAAAAAGATGCCTTTCAGCTTTAAGTGATCATTTAATGGTATGGAGTAATTTTTTAAATCAATTTTATATGGTGTATTAAAATTTTATATATGATAATTTCAGTTATTCTGTATATCTTTTCAAATGCCTAGCATATATTAAATTGTTTATTCCTTCAGGCTTTTTCTTTTAAAAAAACCCAAAGTTCTCTAATCTGAAACAATGTAGAAATAATTTTGCATAAAATTTTGTCCTTTTTTTCTTTGCAGGGAAGCAGCTCGAGAGTGTCGTAGAAAGAAGAAAGAATATGTGAAATGTTTAGAAAACAGAGTGGCAGTGCTTGAAAATCAAAACAAGACACTGATTGAGGAGCTAAAAGCACTTAAGGACCTTTACTGCCACAAATCAGATTAATTTGGAATTTAAATTTTCACCTGTTACGGTGGAATCAAAATGGACTGGATTGGTCACAACCAGAAAGACAAAATAAACATTTTATTTTCTAAACATTTCTTTTTTTCTATGCGCAAAACTGCCTGAAAGCAACTACAGAATTTCATTCATTTGTGCTTTTGCATTAAACTGTGAATGTTCCAACACCTGCCTCCACTTCTCCCCTCAAGAAATTTTCAGCGCCAGGAATCATGAAGAGACTTCTGCTTTTCAACTCCCACCCTCCTCAAGAAGTAATAATTTGTTTACTTGTAAATTGATGGGGGAAATGAGGAAAATGGAAATTTTTTTTAATGATTTCAAGGTTTGTGCTGAGCTCCCTGATTGCCTTAGGGACAGAGTTACCCTAGCCTCTTGCGCTGAAGTAATGTGTGGGCCGCATGCATAAAGTAAGTAAGGTGCAATGGAGGAATGTTGATTGCCAAACTGACTTGTTTTCACATCTTCATGGTGAATTATGTAAAACTATTAAAAGACAAAAACCCTTTAAAATAATTTTGAGTATGGTTTTGAAGGAAATAGGAATGAATTTGGAGTACTCTATGTTTGCTCTTTTCTTCAATACTGAAAACTTGTCCGTGATCCTTAAAAATATCCTGTATTAATTAGCCACAGGGCAGTTGTTGCTTCTTAATTCGGTTCTATGTGTGTTCAACATTTTTGAATACATTGAAAGAAGTAACCAACTGAATGAAAAAGCATGGTATTTGAATTTTAAATTAAATTGTAGTAAAAGTACAAAGTTTACTTCAGTTAGCTAAATCTTAATAAAGAGACGCTGACTAGTAAACCAGTCCCTTGAGTTATATAACAAGGTTTTAAAATAAACACTTTTGTCCTCAACATCAAAGATATTTATATTGTCACTCATTTACTTAAGATAGTTATTTACTGTTGCCTTTTGCATCTACGTTGTACAACAGGAAAGTCTTCAAGATCTACATAAAACAGAGTGATATATTTATGTGTTATAGGAGAATATTTTAATTGTTTCCATATTAATCTTTTCCATTTATCAGAGAATCTAATGAATTTTCTAACTGAAAGAAGTTATAAGGATATGGTCCTAAAAGGTTGTGTTACTTGTACACAAGAAAAGTTTAATTTTTTTCAGACATACTTGAATGTCTGTTGTACTACAATATTTGGATTGTCATTCTTGTAAAATTTTGTTTTCATCTAAAATGGGTAGTATGCTTTAGCTTTCTAATATACCTTGTAGCCTTTATCATTTATAAAGCAACTACCTGTTTTAATTCTTGACTGACAGTCTGCATTTGTGTATATCATATACTGTTCCCAATTATCAGTTACTCATTTTATTCACTAAGCCTGATAAATTAAAAATTATCCTTTAAAAGAAAAATAGAACTAGGGTAGAGTTTAAAAATTGGACATTGATGTAATGTTACGTTATAATTTCTCATTTGAGAAGGAAATGCCTTTTTAAGAAATCAAGAAACAAAATATATATTTAGTCATGGGTTACTTAAGAAAGTTAAGTTTGTTTAACATGACAACAAACTGTACAGATACAGATTTTAGTTATTGGATCCGTTTTAAAAGTGGGATTTTTAAAATTTGTAAATGTTATATTTTTGTTTATAACAAACCATTGTCTTTTTTCAAGGATGAACAGAGTTTATGAAGGAGCATCATTCTAAGAATTGAGTGATGTAGTCCTTATATTTGGACAGTTCACCAGATTCTCAAGAAGGCTTTCAAACGACTGTAAAGTTTGATGTTTGTCCTGCTGAGCTAATGGGGAAACTGATAGCATAAAAATTATTTTGTATGCCAGCATAGTATGTCATTTTCTAAATAATGCTTTAACAGTAACTAAGCAAAATCACAAATCTGTTCACAAACTGCAGTTCATTTTTTTTTTTTAATTACTTCATATTGAGTCAAGTCAAATTGAACATTTGAATGTCATAAGTGTTGTAAGTGAAAAACTGCCTGGTGTATAACAAGTTGTAGTTGCTATAAAGCTGTTTTTCCAAAAGTTGAGGCTTTCTGCTGAATTAGGAAGTTGGTGACCCTCTTGGTCCCTAATAAATCAAGGCAATCACATATCAGGTGGGTGGGGTTACAAGTTTCGAAGACCTGGTCCTTTATACCTTAAAGATGATTGCACTGTTTTGAAGTCAGTTACTTAATAGTGAGGTGAGAAATGTATTGTGTTGCTAAATCTGTTATAGACACTTGGAGAGACTTGAAGATTTCAGTTTATACAGATAGAAATCAAGCATCTTTTATGCAATTTTTTTAATACAAGAACTAGAAAACAGGTGTTTGTTTTTAAGCTTAACTTTGAGAATCTTTATTAAGAAAATGACATTATTTTAAAAAAATCTTGTAGCCCAGAACATATATGGCCACATTATCAGTAATGTTTTTCTCTTCATATTGGCCAAAAGGGAATGAAGATGTCATCATAGGAATATGTATATATGCTACTGATTTGCCTAGAAAATAACAAGTTTGGTATTGCTCACTTTGCAAATATAGGGCCATGTGGCACTTTTATCTATAGGGGACAGATTAACTCTAATAAAAATGAAGTGGGAGGGGTTTATTTTTGATATATTACTATTATGAGTTTTCAAGCTTTGATAGTGTTAAACTGAAAAGTGGTTTAGAAAGGGCTAGAATCCAATGTGTTCACATTATTAAAAAGTTGATATAATACAATTTTAAGTTCATTCTTTTTCAAACCCAAGTACCATATTGACAACCATAATATTGTCATAGGTGCTCTGTTCATTTAGATATTTGGGAGGGGGGTTGGGGAAATGGCATTTGTATAATATATGTGTACATATATATATATATATATACATACAGTATATAATCTAAAGCTCTGAGAGCTCTTAAGTCAGGAATGCTGAGTATTATAGTATATTGAGGTCAGATGAAATTTTACATTTTTGTGTCTTCTATTGCATCCCTTCTGGTAGTTTCTATGACTGCATTACTCCAGCACTCATGATTGATTTTTATCTTCTGATTTTCTTCCAAGTATTTTATTTTTTTATTAGTGTTCTTTGGCTTGATACTTTTTAGTTTCTAGTCACTTGACACCCCCTCCCCCAAAAGTATTTGGATTTGGTTTTTCTGCTTTGTCTCTGGCAGCTATAACAGTGGTAGGAATGCTTTTTAAATAACTTAAAAGGAACCACTGAGTTTTCAAAATATCATCCTGGGGGAGGCATTTTGGTGTTTCATTTAGGCAGGGATTTTTGTCAGAAAATGTGTTTTTACAGTAGGTCAGCAACAGTGCAAGTATCTGAAAGCACAATACCAGTCAGGCGGGCTGTCCGATCAGAAATCATCTGGCTGAAGTTTATCTGTCTCTCAGGACTAATCCCTACTATCTTTTTGACCATATGAGATGACATGTAGAATCATACAAAGGTTTAGGAAGAAACAAGTTTGTATAAACCAGGATGCTTTTACTTACTTGAAGTGACTTCATCTAGATTTCTTTTCATGTTTAATAAGTTTAAAGCTGTGATCAACTAAAGTCAGCTGTTAAATTGGTTTATGGAAGGCTGCTTCATTATGACAGTGGTTACGTACCTTTTCAGCTATTTCTAAGAGGCTTTATTTTATTGCCTTTGTAGCCCTGAAAACTGCTGGTATATTATTTCCCACTGATGTAGTACAAAAGTTCTATATTTATTTGGTTTATATTTACATTCATTCTTTGTAAATGGTTGGTGCAACCTGCACTTTTAAAAAGGACCCAGTTAGCTGCCTCGCAAGCACAAGGTCCCAAGTTCAATTCCCAGTACCAAAAAAAAAAAAGGACCCAGTTTGGGTATTACTAACTTCATCAATTCATTATCAACATACTTTCAAATCATGTGATTTGGGGGGGGGTATCGGGGATCGAACTCAGGTCCTTGGCTCTTGCGCAGCAGGCAACGAAACCACTGAACTAAATCCCCAGCCTCATGTGATGTTTTTAATGGAAGCCTTTCATTGATTTTATTTTAGCACCTAAAAGCTAGCCTTAAAAATGCTGTAAGCGCAAGGTCCTGAGTTTGATCCCC